TTTAGCTCATAATCACAAACAAAGAACACCGAGGACACTGCAACAACTAGCGCAAGTCATCTTAACTTTTCCAGCGAATATCGCTGCCGAGTGGTATCTTCCTAAATGCCACCATAACACTGTACCAACACCAAATAGTAATAGCAACCTGTTTCAAGATAATCTCACTGAGGGTTGGGATTTTGACGAAGTATCCACAAAGAACATTTGGGAAATACTGAAGGAACACAATCAGAACCAAACGCATTAGGGATTGACATCATAACAGTTTCAATATCAATGTAAGGATTTAGCTCATAATCACAAACGAAATAATGCTAAAACATCCCTTATTTATTCAAAACTGATGATATAATACTAAACTACCAAACATACCTGTTACTTAATAACACTCAGAATGTGCTTTCGACGCTTTAATAGCTTTTAATGACGTAATGACACGCCTGGATAATTAATTATTACAGATAGCTGTTGTTAAAGGCTCATTATTTAATATAAATTTAAATCACTAAGATGCAACGTGCGCAGCGTATGGTAATCGAAGAAGAAAAGTAAGTTATCTAATCGCCTGTCGAGTAACGGAAGCATCTTAACCAATAGAGCCGGTTAAAAACCAGAAATAAGAAAAAAAAAAGAAGGAAAGAAAGAAAGGCGAGGGCCTACAATCTTTCGCCTATTGCATAATTCAGAATGTAGCGTCGTAACGAGATATATTCGTTTTCCCGCATGAATATAAATCCACGCGCGTACTTACACGCAAAAATATGGCATTCACCTAGCGGCCGACGTCCATTTCCATATCGTACCATCGATCCGGCCACTTTGAATGGCCCGGAGAGCAGGACGACGACTGGAGAATACGCACGCCGCAGCTACTTATTTCCTACAGTGGCGAGATTCACGCCAGAGATTGTTAAAACATATGGACCGACGCGACGCACTGTCCACCACTGTGTGTCCCGTTTTTCGTTTCATTTTATTATCTACACGTCTCTACGACTAGCAAGACATTCCATTATCAGCCACTTACATTACCGAACAACCTCCTAACGACCATTACAGACGCATCTCTACATAACCCACGAAATTTACTCAGCTGTTCTCTAAACAACTTTATGGTGTTCATTTCGTTCAGAAGACCGTTCACACAGTCTGTCCATTCATTGGCTCAGAAACTATACGAGAGCAACCCAAAAAGACTAGGAATTAAGGAATCTACATTAAAGTGTTGCCAATAATTCATGAGTGGAAGAACCTTGAACCGTCTATGTCTCTAAAGAAATTCTGCGATTCCGAATGTATTTCCTCCATGATGAAAAATGATAGATTCCATTAATCTTGAATTTCATTTTTTAGAAACAAAATCCGATGAAAAACTAAAGGCAAGATGGGACAATCGACTGTGTTTCTCCCATTTTGATCATTTTGATTGAAGAAATTGTCGATGGTCAAAACAAATTCACCTTACCTAACCTAACCTACACTTCAATGAAAGCACTTTAACCTTAAAGCTTCATCACCTATCTCTTTAACAACCATTTGATAAGCTTCAATTGCAAAATAAAAGAAACGCTCCATCCATCGTACTGCAACTACTTGGCAGATAAAGTTCTGGAACTTTCAGATAGCACCTCGTATAACATCCTGAACATTTTATAGGTTTGACCTTCTTTTTTTAATGACACGCCATAAGCTGAAGCATAAGTCCATGATATTTTATACGAACATCACTCGTCCTTTTTCTAAAGACTACGCTGCCGATATGGCTGAAATTTATTGTGGGGAAAGCTCGATCCATTCATCGACGGTGCATTATGCGATGTCAGGAGTTTTGGTTGCAGTGACGGGCGCGGCTTCGCCGCCACATTGAATAAATCAATTTCAGGAAGAAGCAAAAGACGTGACGTCAATGGCGATGTCGATGTGGATTATTATTGCATATTAATGGACATGGAGCGAAAGCGCTGGCAGCTTTATTGATTATCCTCGTACAATTATCGCTTAATAATAATAATAATAATACAACGGTGACGATGGCGATAGTGGTGGCGTCCCGGTGGTTGGTTTTTAAGCTAAACGTGTGACCGCCTGTCGTTCCGGGGTGGTTTGCGGCTGAAATTATGAAACGTGATTGCTGTTCGAGGGTCCTGTTTGTCTATTTCTGGTTAATTCATGTGTTGAATAAAGTTAGAACCCGATTGTACGGAAATGACGTACGATTCAACGTCACGAAAACCACCGCGCGTGCCCCGAAGGTGCTTTTAACGTGTCAACGTCAAATACAAAATAATGACCTGTCACACTTGAAATCGGACTCGATAAAACAATACGTTAACATTGATGACTTTATATATACTGAATACGCAGCTTGAAGTGTCGCTCATACAGAAAAACCTGTCAAACTTAATGAGAACTAACGGACATTTTATTCTTGTTTTTTCTAGTAGAATAGTTCACCATCCAATAATCATACAAACGAAAACCTAACTGTGCTTTAGTTATGGAGCCATAACCCCATCTAAAGCAAAAAACTAACTGAAGAAAACTAAAGCAAAGTTTAACGTAATTTGAAATTTAGTTCGATTTCTGTTCCTGCCCGTAAAACTTCGAGTAAAAATTTTGCCCGGTTTTCAAATTGGACAAGCACATTAACAATCTGCCTGTAAAAATTTTGTTGCGATTCGTTTTTCCACTTGTCCGTTGCAGTTTCACTTCTATTATGTGTCCCACCACATATTTCGTTTTCACAGCTTTACTGCAAATTATGATTTGGTTTTTACACAGACCGCAAATAGAGGCAATCATGCCCAGTCACCTGGAGAGCAGAGGTAAGAAAACAACAGCTGAGCACAGCACACGCCGCCGGTACTCTAACGGACTCTCTCCACGCGGCTGCGCATTTTATCAATCTAATACAGCCGTTGCCCTCTCACCGCCGCCGCCACTCATCACGCGATATACGGTATACCCCCTCCACGCAGCCGAAACGCTTTTTAGTGACAGAAAAAATCCTATACCCCGTCTATATTGTCGTTTCACTTCAATATACATAAGTAAATGTTTGGTATGTTAGTTCACTGGTAGAGACAGTAAGTGGTGCTAGCATTAGCATGTTGTCTCCAAACAGTACCAGTAGCCAATCAAGAGCATTTACTCTTCTCTACTTTAACTTCCATGGACTCAACAACAATCTAACCTAACTTAAGCTTAACAAATGAACAAACGAAATCAAATCAAATCCTAACTTAATCAACATTCTATTTTTATAACAAAACCTTATTTTGACTGAAAGCTCCCTCTCTCTTGAAAATCTTCAATTTCTTCATTATTAGATACAATCATCGACATCAAACACGTCTTTTATTACGTCGCTTGTGATAAATGGTGTAATTACCGGTTAGTTACTAATGCCAGCATATCTGCCGTGAGGTCTTGCCGCGAAAATTCAATATTCAACAACTGACTACGACTTGCCGGTGCAGTGTGCACACATAGAAGACAGAAAAAAAAAAGAAAATTAATTAAAAACCCATTTACCCACGCTCGTTTCTGAATAAGAAAAACATTTGCTTGTAAAAGACGCTTCTCACGTGCATCACGTAACGGCACAGGCGCATTGTATTACGTATTCGACAGCTTTTAATTAAATTTTTAATTAATTTAAGAGCACAAACGGAAAGCTTTAGTTTACGGACGTCGTCGATGGCGTTCCGACGCTTGCGATGTTAGCGCAGTTTAATATCAAACGAAAAAATTGAAGAAAAAAAAAGGCTCCAACTCATATTGATATCCTATATGGAAGATACATACGTTCGCATCGTTTTGAAAATTGTTGTCATTTGTTCAGGATTTCATATAAAAGTAAAACACATTACACGTTTAACCTAGTGCTTATGATTATTAGAGAAAAAAATATTTTTATGCAAATCCCACTGAATGGTACGCCTTTTGAGAGCGATTTAGCATTTAGAACACCGACTTCATCGTTCTAAGGATTATCCATTACCTACTTCTTTTCACCAGTGCAAAAAGGGCCACGTTTTTTTTTCCCAGTACTAATTATAAACTGCGTGTTTAACTGGCAATTTCAATAACTGCCTCATATAAGATTCAGGTTTGTGCCTAACTCTGTTAGTATTAGATTTAACACATTCTTAACTTAAGAAAACCAACCGAATATTTCGATAGATTTTGAAGACCCAAATAAAAAAAATTAGAATTCAAACTTTATCTCCAATCGACTATGTTCAATTCTCTTATTAATAATGGAATTACAAACGAATAATGAGAAAACTAAGTTAACACTGCCAAAGATTCACATCATCATCATCATAAGGTCGTCAATTCTAAGACTGGTTGGACACGGACCTCTTTCTTAACTTGAAGTAATCTTCGCACTTCCCTAAAACTAGAAAAAAAAAGCTTTTGAGTGTTTCATTCCCACCAGCCACTAACGCTGGTGGATGGGCAGTCTCTCCGGACTACGTCGGAAGGTCGGGCGGAAGGCCCTATCGTGCGAATGGGTGGGTGGTGGTTCGTGTGAGAAAGATGAGACGGACGAAATGAAGACAGAAGAGAATGAAAGATTATCTGTGGAATATTACTGCCCCAGGATCTGCTTAAGTGATCCAAGGAAACCACAGAAAAACTTGGACCAGGGCAGAAGGACCTGGAATCGAACCGGCGTCCTCCCGAATGCTAAGAAATGGTCTAGACCTCTGGGCCATGCAAAATTCCACATCCTTAACTATTTGCGAATAGTAACCTAATCTAGGTCTACCTCTAATGATACACAGACCAAAAAAAAATACATACAATTCGAATTTCCAATATCTTCAGCTCAATTCGATTCAGTTACCGTTAACAATATAACCAAATAAAATAAATCTAAAACATAATTTCGCCAATTGTACCATTCATTGTCTCTACGTCTGCTTATCATTCTTACTAGTCCTTAAAGTAATTTTTCAAAGTTCTAAACATGTACTTCTTTTTTCCAGATCGGCCAACTACAATAATGCCACCGGCGACTGTGAACTTTCTGACATGGACCGTATAACGTTGGCTGGAACGAACGCATTCCAACCTACGAAGGAGTTCGACTATATGGAAAACAACTGCATTGAAGAACCAACTAAACTTTGTGAATTCAAAAAGCTTACAGGTATTTCATTCATATCTTCCAATAAAATTATTTTGATATCATCGTCATTTAAAGATTGGTCAGGCGAACACCATCAGTTCTCTTTATCATGAGTCAGTGTCTTTACAGTTTCCAAATTTTAATAAATTTCACATCCGCAACTATTTGTAAACATTAATCTGACATATAGATCTTATTCTATCTGAGATTCTGATATGCCTCTTTATGTCTCAGGAGTTCTTCCGTTAATTGGTAATGCAATAATTTCACCTCCTACCACGATAAATGCATTTCAAAAACAACACTAATCATAATTTATATATCAGATCTTGTTGAATTTATTCCATTCCAAACCTATTGCTATCACATCCAATGACTAATTTGCTAATAAATAATTTTTCCATGATCTCTACAGGAAGAATATTGAAGACAGTCGATTCTGTATTCCAAGACGTCGGATCCTTGGAAGAATGCAGGGAGTTATGTCTCAATTCACCCTACAGATGTCACTCATACGATTACGGAGACACTGGTGAGATGGTTTGTCGTCTCAGTCATCATTCCAGAGCCACACTTGTCGACATTCAGGTAATTTCCCGTAGAATTCATTTGAACTACTTCTTTTGTTATTCTTTATTTTCCTTGTGACTTCCACATCCTCATTGGAAAGCCACTTTCGGCGACGACTGTACATCGGCCTTGTCCTTCCCCTTACCGGAAAAATGGGCACGCCAATGATCAAGTTCAATTGCTTTTGTTTTATGAATCCGTAAAGGTATTCATTACGTGGCGCCAATAAAAATCATAAGCGGTTCCTAATTGACGGTAAAATAAACCGGTTCATTTATTTAAATTACAGAACATCAGGACACCGTGGAAAACGAAGAAAAGTAAAACACGTAAATAGTGAAGAATTTCTGTCACCTCGTTAATTTAAACGTAACGACCTCTCTGAGAAAGCTTCAGCTAGAAGCGCTACAAGATTCGAAGAAATAATTCTTAATAATTTCCACCCATTAAAACCGCGCTGTTTTCGCACATAATAACCTCACAACAGAGATAAAATCCTCAGGCATTTTCTCACAGGCACGAACTACTTTCAATGTGTGTTACGGACTACGGATATAATAGTACACGTATCGATACAGGGTGATCGTATGAAATAAGCATTCTTATAACAAAAAAGTACCGAATTCCTACCGCAGTTTTACTACAAAATTATTTGGAAATATAATATCTTTCCAAATTCGTTTTTCGTTACAGAGTATCAAACGTTTGAACTTGGTAACTCTGTTTTTTACAGTCTTGAACCTCAAGTTGTATTTACCAAAAATTTGCCAAGTTCGAGACTTGGCATTCATTAAAACTACGAATTTCACTTTGTTTTATAAGCTTTAATCTCATGTGAACACATTCTATAGATGAAAAACAATCGCCAAGTTCAAAACTTGGCAGAAATCGTTTTTCGTTATAGAGTATCAAAGGTTGAAGGTTTGAACTTTGTAACTCTGTTTTTTACAAATAGCTTTGAACCTCAAGTTGTATTTACCAAAAATTTGCCAAGTTCGAGACTTGGCATTCATTAAAACTACGAATTTCAATTTGTTTTATAAGCTTTAATCTCATGTCAACACATTCTATAGATGAAAAACAATCGCCAAGTTCAAAACTTGGCAGAAATCGTTTGTCGTTACAGAGTATCAAAGGTTGAAGGTTTGAACTTGGTAACTCTGTTTTTTACAAATAGCCTTGAACCTCAAGTTGTACTTACCAAAAATTTGCCAAGTTCGAGACTTGGCATTTATTAAAAGTACGAATTTCACTTTGTTTTATAAGCTTTAACCTCATGTGAACACATTCTATAGATGAAAAACAATCGCCAAGTTCAAAACTTGGCAGAAAATGGTGGAAAGTATTACAAAAACTGTAAGAAAGATCAAATGAAAACTCGGCGGATTTTACCGTGTGAATGCTTTTGTTGGTCCACTCCGTATGTAAGCGAAAGCGCCTGCATTTCTTGCGCTCTCGGCTTCAAACATCCTCAGCGCTCATGAAAATGAAGTTAATTATGCCCGCGCGCATACGAGGCCGAGTGCTTTTCCTAGAATCCACTTCCTATCACGGAATCGTAATGGAAAATGATACCGACCATACAACCGGTTCACTCTGGATCGTCTCATCGCGTTTCAAATCGACCAGCTACAGATCGATTCTGACAGAATTACCATCAGTGCAACAACCGTAACGTCTGCGTACTTTCAGTAATTTTCCTTGCGGAGAAATTACCTCACGGATAGCGACCCTTCAACGAGTGATTGGCATCAATACCAATCTCAGACAAACGTAAAAGAATTTCTCGATAAATTTTCAATACATTTGTATTCGGAAGATTGCAAGCGTTACCGAAACTACTTTGGGCAAGTGATTTGAACATTACATCCTTAAAGTAATGGGAATCTTAGAAACCTTGACCAAATCACCATCAGTTTTGATGCCGTTTGGATTCCAAAATTGACAAACTAACTTCTTGAAACATGTTTTCAACAATATTGAAGAAATTTGGGCATTAATTCCTTGAAGTAGTCAATATCTATCTATCAGTATTTATACTTCCATATTTCTCCAACTATTCAAGAAACTTTAGAGGACAAACGTTTTGATAACATCTCCATTAGTTTTCATTTCGTTTGAACTCCAAAATTAGCAATCTTCCAATGAAATCCTCAATATGAACAACGTTTAAGACCCTTGAGCTAATGAGACTCTGATAAATTTTGGTAGCATTACCATTATTACTGATTTCTTTCGAATTATCCAAATCATCAATCTTCGAAATTATGTGAAGACAGTAAATATTCTTCAAGAATATTCAATCTCATCTTTACAATTTGACCCTTATAAATTATTATTTGAATTTTAAGACGTACTTCACACTTAACACAATCTCCAGTCTTATTCAAATTGTGTATCTGGAAAATTCACGATTGAATTAATTGTATCGTGTCCTTTCAGGAACCTTTCCTGGACGTTCCGGAGGCAGCCACCTACGAGCTCTCGTCTTGTTACAACGTAAGCATCGATTGTCGGTCGGGGGACATGGTTGCCCGTATTCAAACCAGTAAAGTATTCGATGGAAAAATCTATGCCAAAGGCAGTCCCAACTCATGCGTCCAGGATGTAAACAACAGTCTGGAATTCGAATTGCACATGGGCTACGACGACCTCGAGTGCAACGTAAGAAAAAACGGACTCGGAAGGTAAGTAAATGTCAACATCTCTTATATATAAATAATTGGATTAGATGCGGGACACCCAAATGCACCAGCGCTTTGCAGAAAGATTTATCGAAATCGTCAAAAATTGGAAACAATTGCATTAATTATCGGTAACTAATACTCTTCTGATACTAACCCGTATGAAAAATTTCCATTCAATTTCCATTAAAAAAAGGCCATTAAATTACCACTGATAATAATTAATGGTAATAAATGGAGAATTGTCAATGGGATTCCCATTCCCGAACTCAATGGGATTTCCATTGCTGAACGCAATGGCATTACTATTGCTGAACGCAGGTACCTGAACCAAGGCACGTGCCTGGATGTCTGGCTCTTCATCATTGTGTTTAGATTTTTTTTCACTTGCTTCTGATAAAACTACATCACTCTCACAGATGACTTCGGCCTCCTCTATATTCTGGTATGGTTCAAAATCATCAAACAATGCTTCTAATGTAGGCTTTTTCACTTGTCTAGGGGTTGTTTAATAAAAGGCTCCGGGTAGTTGAATACATATATAATAAACATAATAATGAATATAAACAGCAAACAGCAAAACGAGTAACAAACAGGAACTAAATATATACAACTTATATACAATATTCAATGTATCGCGTTTTCCAAAATACATACGTCTTCGTGTAATCACCATAAATACGTCTTCCGTCTTTTTAGAGCAAAAATGCTCAACGTCTAAATAAAATATACCGTTTTAATCAAACATCTTACCACCTTGCTTGTCTCTCACTCTACTGCCGTGGTGGTCCCTCACGTACCCCCAACATGCACGCATAGGTAAAACTAGATTATTGATTTTCCACCACCTAATTGGCAATATCACTACTCTTGCACCTGGGCAAGCAAAAACTGTATCGAAAAAGGTTAATAGTATATGTGGCCAGGAATTATATTGTAAATGGAAACAATTATTTTTCCATTTATGCCAAATGGTTTTGAATGGAATTTACAAATTTTTCATTCATTCCCATTGAACTTCAATGGAAATTTTTCTACGGGAAATAACGAGAATTCGACTACTGACTATGCCAAAATCAGACTTCCAACCTCATCACTACACACTACTGATGCTAACTTTTGACCTAGGATTATTATGAAACTAATCCCAACAGTGCTGACAAAATATCAGCCCTAACTAAATACACTGATACTCTCTGAAAAAACTCAGATACATTTCAATACCCCCGATACTCAACAAGTTACCACCAATACTATTTTAACAACTGACACCAACCTATTTACCACCCCAGAACACAAAAGGCATTATCACAATTAGTCTTGTCACTTCAGTGCATTTCAGTTTTGAACGTGTAATATTGTGGCTTAATCACAATACCATAGACAGATAATACTTACGATGTCATAAAAACTAGTAAGGATCTGGTTGTGCTCCTTCGTACCGTCATTTCATTCGCAGAATTAATTAATTGTAATGTAATTAAAGGGGAATTGTTGTCAATTCAACTATAAACAAAAAATTGCAACCGTTGCGAATTCTCGGTAACATTCACAACACTCATGCCATAAATGTTGACAGTAGCTATTTCAAGCAGCTGTTATAATAACAACATCCATTCGATGGTTTTCGTTTTGACGGTAAAAAGAACGACGTTATTACTATTGTAAGACATGCCAATTGCAAATTACATTGTAGTTAGTTAATGCGTCAAATTAGTGTTTCGTAGAAATAGTTAATTCCCATTGGAAGAGAACAACACGGTAACAATCGAGGAAAATTAAGCAATCAAATTAGACTTGGTGGTATTTAAATGAGATTCATATGTTCGATCTATCAGCATCATTCCGTTATGAATCAGACGAATAAAAAAGATGAGAGGGCCAAAAAAGGTCAAACAACTCTACGTTGCATATGTTGCAAAGAAAGAATTCATGTGTTCTTGTATTGTGGAGTGATAAATTATATAATTATACTTCAATCACTGATCTAATTCACAATAAGGGTTAATTAAGTATATAAACAATGAAGTCACATATAAGAATCCAAACATGCAAATACGGAAGTACAAAAGAAATATGCAAAATTAGCTTCAGATCAAGAAATGAATATAGTCCAGGCAAATTGACTAATTTGAGACCAAGCAAAACAAAAAACAAAAGTCAAAAAAATGTGCGCACAAGTTTATTAACGATGTACGTAATTTTTTACTAATATATGCAAAAATACGGTCTAGTCCAAACTTCCAAAAAAAATTGCAATTTTCAACAAAATCATACAAGCACGAAACATGTTAAATCACCGCCAATAGTTATCTCTATCTTCTTTTAAAGCCAAATATTCGATACGGTTTTAAATTTCCTTACCATTTTCCTTAACTTTCCTTCTAAGGAATTTAGTTGCATCAAGTGTAATTTACCACCTATGTAGCAGTGTAACATTATTATATCAATTACATACAACAGTTACCGCGTTATCTTATCGGCTTTCGACGAAACACACATACCTATTCGTGACCTTCGCAAACAGCTGACACGTAGACAAGTCAGTCGTACGTAATGATTAGTAATAATCTGCACTCGTTAGCTTACGCATGTTCTTATTATCATTTTCAGATACGTTAACGACGTTGTCATTCAGCATCACGACAAGATTGTAACGAGTTCCGACCTGGGCCTGGCAGTCACTTGCCAATACGATTTGACCAACAAGAGTGTCACCAACGAGGTCGACCTGGGTATACACGGCGATATCGGTAAGTGAAGAAAAAAGACACCAGCAATAATAAATAATTCATTAAGTATGACGAATAAGTATTTAGGTATCTAGGAGGTCACGACAGAAGGAGTAGTAGGGACATAAAGCAGAGGTTAGCGCAGGATCGAGTCGTCTTCAATAAAAAGAACGATTAATTTAATAGTTTAGGCCTTCGGCGAGGGTAGGATATATTGGAAAGAACGTAGACATAAACGATTAACCGTTCTAGTTTTATCAGCTACCCGGTTATCAAGTACCTACCCGACAAAATCATTACCCGGTGCATCTCTATTTATCGCATATATATATCTATGCAGATTTATTGTCGTATCATGTATGCAAACGCGAGTATTTCCTGAATATTGAAACGGCGATCTTTTTTATTAAAGTGCCGCGTTTAAATTCCGACTGAAACCGCTGAGCAGGATACACCTGCTCGACAACACTTTTATTCAAGAAGATCGCGGTGCAACGGTTCGACCACAATAATTATAACGTAGCCTTCAACAGGTATCGACTGTTAAAATAGCTGTTGTATAAGCTTTAATCGACGTAAATGTTACCAACTTGCATATCATCATAACTGAAAACACTGCACGAAAGGCGATGAATGAAATCGAATTAGAATTATCATTATATCAATTTTACAAATTGAGTAGCATATATTAGTTGCACCCGTCCACAATTGTAGATTTCGCCGACGGGCCTATAGCTATAACCACTGACAGTTGAGAGTTGTGCAGCTCCAACTGGAAGACGACAAAATTTGCAATTTTTTATTAAAAATTCCGAAAAATGTAAACGCGGTAATTAGTTCCATTTTTTGATTAGACGTTTTAATAATCAACTGATTCCAAAAATTCGTATCATCAGAGGAGATAGTTGCACCTATTAGCATCACAAACGCACCTATACTAGAAGCATAGATATTAGCATATTAATCTCCAAATATCATGTTGTATTTATATAATTGTTTCTGATAGTATACTTTTATCTAACAGCCGAAAATTTTACGATATGATTGTGATACGGTGTTTTCTAATCTTCTCATAATATTAAATTAATTAAATCAATCCTATGGCCAACCCCCTATGATCAACTGACAAACCCTAAGGGTTCGAGTACCCCACGTTGAAAAACTCAGCTTTCCAGAAAGAATTCCCTTTCGTATATGGAAGACTGGACATTATAATCAATTGCAGTTTAGTTCTAATTAAATTTCTTCGATGCAATGCAGTGAAGGTTAGATAAGATTTATAAATATAAAAATAAAAAGTGTCTAAGAAATAATTAACTGAATGTTTTCGATTTCAAGAGGTACAAAGAGTCGAGATAAACAAAAGCGGGTAAAATACGGCATGAGATAGAACAGGTTTGAAAGTTAGCCTGAGAGCGCTCAGGTTGCCTCGAGGCTTAAATTAATAGAGAAAACAAGAACAAACATCTTTGATTAATGAACAATCGTCTCCACTTAATATGCTTAAGAGGTAGCGAGGGAGAAAATAAATCTGCAACTCGACTGAACTAATGATGCGAATTTGAAAATAAAACCCCTTAATGGCCATAATAAACCTCAATTCGTTTCGTGGGCTGTTTCTTTTCCTAGGCTACGTAGCCAACGATTATCCTCGAGTCGACGAATTCGATAGAAATTGCTCTAATTTTCCACAGAAATAAAAAAAATCGACTCGACTGCATGTTTCTTCGGACACGACAACATCCGTCTATTAATTTTATTGACCGTTAAACTTCAACTGAAAAATGAACAATCTCAACCTTGCAGTTAGACGTGGATGACGGTTTCAAACCTATTGGTTCCCATTAGACTACCATATGTACAAAAAGTTTATGATGTTTAGTATTCTGCAGAAACAGTCAGACATGGATAGCGATTTCGATCCCATTTGATCTCGTTAGTAACGGAATTCCACAAAATGTAGCAATTTTTGGGACGTAGACAATGATCTCACTAGCAAACATCAGCGTTGTCTGACGAATTTCTTTTTATTCTCTAAATTTTTGAAGAAAAACTTCTATATAGAAGGGTTACGGCCGCGTGGAGGGGGTAGACGTATATCGCGTGGTGAGAGGCGGCAGCGACTGAGGGAGAGAAAGACTGACGGTGGCGGAAAGAGGGCAACGGCTGTATTAGATGGATATAATGCGCAACCGCGCGGAGAGCGGGGAGTCCGCTAGAGTCCCGGCGGCGTGTGCTGTGCTCAGCTGTTGCTCTCTTACCTCTGCTCTCCACGTGGCTGGGCATCATTGCCTCTACTTGCGGTGTGTGTAAAAACCAAATCATAATTTGCAGTAAACCTGTGAAAACGAAATGTGTGCTGGGACACATAGTAGAAGTCAAACTTCAATTGACAAGTGGAAACACAAACGGCAACGGACAAGTGGAAAAACGAATCGCAACAAAATGTTTACTTCAAGATTTACGAGCAGATTGTTAATGTACTTGTCCAATTTGAAAACCGGCCAGATTTTTACTTGAAGTTTTACGAGCAGGTTTTCAAATTGGACAAGTACATTAACATCAATCTGCCCGTAAAACTTGAAGTAAAGATTTTGTTGCGATTCGTTTCTCCACTTGTCCGTTGAAGTTCCACTTCTACCGTGTGTCCCAGCTCACATTTCGTTTTCTCTGAAATTTCCTTGGTAGAAAGTAACCGTGATACAAAATAATGCCAAGCCATCAACATCTTACCACTTTCTGACCTTCAGAACCTCTTTCTAGGTCATTCTTCAGCTAAAAGTGGTAGAACACACCCTTCTGTGAATAACTTCAAAAGCTTTTACTTGCAGATTGAGACTTTCTCAGATTGAAAGATACCCCCCTTTGTTTCAGCAAATATTTTGTATTAACAAAACAATTTTCTCTCTTTTTCAGAGCCATCCATGTCAGAGGAAGTTACTGTCGATTCACCAAATGTAGCCATGCGGATTACAGACAGAAATGGTGACGATATTATGTCGAGTGCCGAAGTAGGAGACCCTCTCGCCCTTAAATTCGAGATCATCGACAAGAACAGTCCGTACGAAATCTTCGTGAGAGAACTGGTAGCCATGGATGGCGTTGACTCTAGCGAAATCGTCCTCATCGATTCCCGGGGTTGTCCAACCGATCACTTCATCATGGGACCAATCTACAAGTCAGCTCAGACAGGAAAGGTATGAAAAACAAAAGCACAATAACGCCGCTTTGTCATCATTAAACCTACACAGCTGCGCATTCACTCTGACGTAAATTAGCATCACATAAAATCATGAAGTCTGAGTTACTACTACGTAATTTACTTTATTGCAAACAGAGGAAGTCGTAACATAAGAAAAGCTACGCCAGAGAAATTACAAAAATAGAAATATTCTGATTATGAATGTTGCAATAAGGAATGGTTCACTAATGTTCAAATCATTGATATAGAAAAGCTATAATTTTGTATTACGAAAAAGACTACTCTCGGGTCAATTCAGGAAAACGATGTCCGCTATAAATTATTTTTAATAGGCTAAATGAGAAGGATTTTATTACTTTACGCCATTCATCTTGTAATATAAAAGAACCAGTCTTCACTCTTATCAAACATATCCGCATGGAATGTGACTATTATTTAGAATTTAGTACCAAAAAGGTATTGGTGAGAGGTCGGTATCCACAATAAATCATACACCTCTAAATAGAGGGCATTAAACTTTTAAAAAGCACCAAATGTAGAAATTATCAACTGGGTTGAGTTGTCAATTAGAAGCCCAAATCCAAAATGACCTTGTCGAACATTATTGAATCCCAGAATAAGTAGCAAATGGCGTTCACTACGCTGTCAGCACTTCTTTGTCTTCGTAACTTGACTCAAGTACACAAAAACTATTTCAAATTAAAGTGAAGGACACAGAGTGTCTTTACAAAACGCAAAAGGTCCTTTAGATTTACGTATAAGTACTCCAAAATCTTCCCAAATCCGAACAATAAAATTTAATGGTTTAATTGTTTCAGGTTTTACTTTCCCACTTCGACGCATTCAAATTCCCTTCGTCAGACATTGTTCAGTTCCGTGCTCTTGTCACTCCATGCATGCCAACTTGCGAGCCCATCCAGTGTGACCAAGAAGAATCGACTGGCGAACTGCGATCTGTCGTGTCGTTCGGAAAGCGTAGAAGAAGACGTTCCATCTCAAACGAAAGCACCTCATCGGCCCGGGAAGACCTTCTTTTGGTACAGTCGATCCAGATAACCGACAAGTTCGGTTTCGAGAACGAAACAAACCCAAGCCCATCGAATTCCGCAGGAACAAGCAACGGTGGAGAAACAGCGTTCATGCCCAGTGGCTCCGATGCCGGAATTTGCGTCAACATGGCCGGAATAATGATTTTAGGGATAGTGTTTGTCATTGCACAGGTCGCAATCTTTACCATTTGGTCATTGTTATGGCAAAAGAAACGTATCGATCACAAACTCGCTGCTGACAACATGAGCTTCAACGTCAGCATTCCATCCGGATTGAATTCGAAACACTCGGATAGTCTCAGCAAGCTCTACACTTCCGGTTACGCCCACAGTCGTCGTTTTTGAAAAATCGCATAGCCCACTTTAGTCATTGCAATAAAATATTTCTTTAAAAAATCGGTTTTCCGATTTTATAATGACAATGAGATTATTCATCAATAAGAAGAGAGATAGTCTTAACGGTAACCCGCTTCGAGTTGTAAGCTGGTTTGAAAATCGAACGAAATCAATCAAACCGAACAATAATATTTATGGCTAGTTAAAAAACAGTTTCTAAATGGTTTCTTTTTCCTCGAAATTAAAAGCCTTTCTAACCAGCTTACAACTCCCAAGTGCTTCATCTAAGGTATTTGTAGTAGTCTGCGCGATAATCGGAATTTTGTATGAGTATTACTAACCAAACATCAAAATTGCAATAAACTTTCGGAAAAAAAGTAAAAATTTCCCGGAAACACTAGGAGGTCGGTGAAAATCTTCTTCAAGGGATGATGCAGATGTGAGGCAATGTGGACATTAACTGAATACTTTATACTCTTCGTTCTCTGCTTTCGAAAATTGAGAAAATGCTTTCCGTATTATTAGAAGAAATGGACGTACAGGAAGGATTCGAGGACGACCGTGAGTCGTAAACGTGTGAATGGGAGAACTTGTATTCGGACAAACCGTAACGAGCGCGTGTGTATATTTATGTATTATTTAGGAATTTTATTTATAATTTTAAGTGCTTGTCCTCGATTCCCGATTGTCAACCAAATGCGGTCTTTCAAATGGCACAAATAATTATTATAGTAACAATAACGATAATAATAAGGTCCGAAATACCGCTTTGGGGCTTTTATCTTTACATACTCTTATTAATTTATGACATGTTTTTTTTTAATAGAAGCGTGCTGTAACTTATAGGATACAATAAATTATTTACTTTTTATTACTTTTTTAAAACATTTCCTTTGCCAATTATCAAACTACCTCTATTCCATAACAATAGTGAATGTTCAACCGAGAATGGGCAAATTATTTATTGGTAATGCAACGCAAAATTGCAAAACCATGAATCAATAATAATACCTCGTAAGTCTTATCTTAAAAATGATGGCTTTTAAACATATTAAGTTGTTATACTTCGTGTACTTTCTGTAGCGATGTGGCCTTCAGTTTGACCGGCGCAAATTAGAAAAGAACAGCACTAGGTCAGAAAAGAAAGGAGACAACTCTCGGCGAAACTCTTAACCGGTGAGGAGCGTATAATCCATACAGTACTGCACGGAAAAATTGACCATTTTATCCACTACAATTGTATTGCTCAAATGTGCTGTTATTGGTACTATTTACTACTGAAAACATCAACGAGATGTTTATTTATATTTGAAGACATATTAAAGGCTTTAACGCTTGTTTTCGACTCGCACTACTATTCATAACTGAACAAAATTTTTGGCAAGTACTGTATGAAAAAGTATGTTTAATGAACAAGAGTCGAGAGTATTATGAGCTTTTTTCTCCCTACCTACGATTTTGCCAGCGCGCATCGAAGACATTGGAAGGGGCACATCGCTAGAGAAAGTAAATGAAGTATACCAGCAAGAAGAAGAAGCAAGTAAAAATTACTAGTAAAAAATAAATAAGCAACTATGACGTTAAATAATCAATTCTGGTTTGTTTGGTTGGAATATTTATGCTACAAAGAACGGAAAAAATATCATTGGATAACTATCTAGTCAAATGTGGAGTTCCACAGGGTTCCTAATTGAGATCCCTATTGTTTACTATTTATTTAACTGATATAAAGACAGCCATTAAATACTCAGTTTTTTTTTATGTATAAGCTGATATTAAACCCCGAAAGGTAGTAACGTCCCCTCGAGACTACTGCATTCCACGTCGATGTTGACAAAATATAGATAATTAATTGATGCTGATAACCCACTACGACCAAATATTAACACGTGTAGTGCAATGACTCTTAAATCGGGGAGGCTTTTCATTCTTCTTTTAGTAACGGATATAAATACAAAGTTACAAAATAGTTTATTCACCACAATGACTATTTCGTCACACATTGTTTTGTTCAGGTGGAAGAAAGAAATTAGTCTCAAACAAAAGAGCGTTGGAAACTTTTAACGACAAAATAAAGCAACAATAAAAACTTCGTATATGATATTAATAAAAATTAAGTAAAGTCAATTATCCATTATAACTAATGCTGTAAAAAGGATTCTAAGTAAATAAAATAAAAGATCTTACAATTCCGGAGTAGCGCTGGTCTTTGAAGCTTAACGAGTATTGAATTTCTGTTCTTACGTAGGACTTTGCACTATTAATTGGCTATTGTAGCAAAAATTGGTTATAACGAAACGATAAAAATGACTTGTTAATATGCAAACAACATGAATGAATTAATTACTTTCTGGCAAACACGCTTCGTTAGCGGAAATGAAGAAAAACAAAAATCACGGATCAGAAACGTTCATTCATGAGCAAATACAAATTATTTCTTGAATCTCTTAACGTACGTTATATTGATACGAAAACGCTGAGTAATCTTTATTAATACTGCGCCTTTTCTCATTCGCGACCCTTTCTTTTTCAATCGTTCCGGGAAGAATGCTCTCCGAACGAACTCGACTTACTATGCAAATTTCCATAGTTAATAATATCAGGCGTTCCAGGATTCAATGAATATCAACTTCTTATTCCGTGGAATCCATATTGAAAATTATCGGAGGTAATAATATTCAGAATAGTGGGCGAGATATCTGCATCTCAAAAGTACACGATCCAATCTGAATTCACAAAAATCGGCTAACGTAAACTAAATTAAGGAAAGGATGTATAAATGAAATTCATTAGCTAATCAGGACCTAAACGTCTCTCAAATAATAATTATAAGTACAAGATGCATAGAAACACATTTGAGATAATTCCTGTATTCCTGGAGACGAGTATTTTAGGCTTTAATTAACGAATTTTAGAAACCAGGCTACCTAATTCAAAAAGTGAGTGATCAATATTGTTAATCAAGCTCAAGCTCGTTTAATATACACTAATATAGTTCATTCGTTCAAAAAAAGAATGATAATAACACTGACTTCTAGAAAAAAGTCACCAAAGTCACAAATTTCACAAAAAGCGTGTTTAGAAATATGATGATCTCAAGCTGTTCTATAGGGTTGTTGGGAAAGTCATTTCGTTTTTTTTTGTGGAAATGAAAGACAGTTTTCGTATAATAAACAAATACTTTATTAAATTATATATTGACCGTTCTGGTCTAACACCTTTTGCCATCTTTCTGGTAGTAGCATAATTCCACGCTCATTAAATTTTTGGTCTTTGCTGGCAAAAAACTGACGTTGTTGTATACAATCCATTTTTCGTCTCCAGTGATGATGCGCTTCAAAAACGGATCATTTTCATGACGTTTGAGAAGCGAATCGCAGACGTCAATGCGGCGACACAGATTTCTCTCTGTGAGAACATGGGGAACCCATACATCGAGCTTCGAGGATAATCCCAGACCTTTCAAGTGGTCATAAACTGTTGAATTTGATAAATTTAACCTCAATCCGATCTCACGTGTTGTTATTCGCCGGTTCACATCAACTAATGCCGTTATCGCGTCTTTATCAGCTTCAACCGGCCTTCCCGAACGTGGTGCATCTTCGACATCAAAATTGCTGGATAGAAATTTAGCAAACCAGTTCTGGCACTGGCGTACTGTCAACACACCTTCTCCATACACATCAGTCAATTTCTTTCTGGCTTGAACAGCATTTTTACCCTTTCTGTAGTAAAACAGTAAGATATGTCGAAAATGCTGCTTATCGCTCTCCATATTTAAAAGGGCACCAACCAAAAACTACTGCGTAGAATTAATTGGAATTTTTCACACACAAGCCTTGCTATATGAGCTCTCAAAGCATATAAAAATTACACGGCTTAAATGTGAAGTTGGGTGCAAAAGAATACAATTAAATCCTCTGTCGGGAAAAAAACGAAATGACTTTCCGAACAACCCTATATTATAGATCATGAAATTTTGGAATTTCACCAATGAAGATACCAATAGGAACGGTGAGTAAGCAAAGGACATTACTCTGTAGATAATTATCCAAAAAAATATTCCTATTCAAGGATTACTATGTTCCATATAAAATTAATAAATATTAGATGAAAATGAACAAACGCATTAGTTGGCTGATAAAAAAGAACATTAACAACAGCGGTAGCCAAAACACAGGAAGTGCATTTATGTTTTTGTTTAATGAAAATTAACTACAAAACCACCGTGGTTAGCATGACTGATTATTATTATTAGTTGCTTTGAAGAGCAACCGCACTTCAATTGTTTTTCATTGAATTCACATTATAAAGACAGAGCTAAACAGAAGATACTTTGAAACGAATTAAGGCATACACAATGTGTATGTTTTATGACCGTAGAATGAATCGATGGCCGCCTGCGGCAAACGCTTAAGAAACCCACTGTAATTACTATTCGGTACATGCGAATAAATATTGCGAGCTGTTTAAGTGATAACGATAATTAAAATTACAGACATTGGGATCCGTCAAATGGGAGGAGCTTAAAATCATGGCGCCGATTAGGGAAAATTTATCGTAGTTCCTATAGTGTACCGTGCAATTTCCAAGTTTTTAAATTACGATAAAATGATAAGTTTTGACACAATATACGATTGGGCTGACACAAAGTCTCGGAAAGGAAATTTCGTTGAAGGTGAGCGTGTTTTTAATGCCAATCACATTATAAAATTCGGAAATAACAAATCCGGAAGCTAGCCTTCAAATTCCGCCAAGTTTACTGCCTACTTTTTACAAACTTCGGATTTAAAAAGTGATTCACTTTATGTAATTGGTGAGGTGATTTTGGGTGATTTAAGCAATATCATATCAATGACTTGCACGTGCAAAGCCGATTTAAGAGAACTTTGCAAACACATTATTGCAACTTTGTTGTATTGCAGCAGGTAGGTTCTTAACCTCAAAATACTTATATCGTATCATTAGAATTGTGTTAAATCAATTACACAGGAATAAATAATTTCTCACTTTATAATTTTAGTATGATTCTAGTTTTAAATATTAAGGTTATGGCTGATGGTAAATACTTGCTGAAATATAATCATGTGCATTAAAATGACGTGAACAAATTTTTATTCCGGAATTCACTTCTTTGATACCTACTGCTTTCATCCAAGCTTCTATTAGTTTACTTTTTTCTCTAATTTTCCGAATATATTTTTTACATATATAAAACGGTTAGTTTTTATTGGAAAGTAGTTAATGTAGGTGAAGAGTGAAGATCTATGTCTGAAGTGCTATTGCAGCTTTTCACTGAACATATTAACTTTTTATTTGATTTAACTTTAGAAGAAAACTTCGTCGACTCCATCATCAAAAAAATTTTTACTTTTTTAACGTGTTTTATTATTTTAATAAACAATTTTACAATTTGCGTGCACAGTTCCTATGTAAATTTTTCCCTCATTCGAGTTATAAATTTTGCCACCAGATGGTGTATGCCCATTTGACGGATCCCAATAGATATAACTACACCTGCAGTTATTTAATTAAATAAGTCAGTGGACGTCGATACATAAATCGTGTCGGGTGTCTGACGACATCATCGGTCGTCGTACCGTGACGTCGCGACGGGAGGTGAAGGACTTACTGTTGTCTCCGCGACGCTAGACAATTGTACACGAATTGTTGTTTTCAATTACAATGGTCTCCGTTTCGACGCGACGCGACGCGCCGCGCCGTGCCGTGCAGCCAGGGTAATGGAAGAACTTAAATTACTTCTGAAGCTCTAAAACACGTTGCCTCAATTAAATCCCGCGATAATTAATGTCGTTTATTATCAAGTCCTACCGATCTC